ATGGACAACGTTTCTTTTGTCAGGACCCAAGTGAAAATTAATTCCGCTATTTCGGATTTGCACATGCACATGATGAACGTCTTGCTTGGTCTAACAGTTCAATTACAGACAGATAATTTAACACAGATCTGGCTTCGCTAGAATGCTTCATTGAGCGGGACATGCAAAAACTCATAATTAACGGACGAACCATCAAGATCTAACGCGTGTCAACTTGCTAGGGACACGCGTTAGATCTTGACGGTTCGTCCGTTCTAGCTACTGGGTTCCGAGCGATCTCATTACAGGATGAAATTTTGCAAAAACGCATGATCGCTACGGGCCCGCCCAGTGCGCGTCGCCAATGATTAAATTTACATTTTCAAAGAATGAACGATTACTAGCAATTTCTCATTTCTCTCCTTTGAGAATTTGCGATAATTATAGTTGCTTAATGTTAGGATTTTATGCGGCTCCGTGAAGGAATACTGCCGTCCCCGAGGCGCTCTTTTCCCCTTGCATGCAAAAGAAGACCAAAACACCGCATATGTTAAACTGCGGGGCAACAACCATTGTTATTTTTAACGACCTGTTTGTTTCAAAGTTAGCGTAAAAATGCATTATTGCACCAGCAGGTTTGCTATCTGAGTTACCATTCATCAATGACGCAAAAAACGCATTAAAAAAACAGAGCCACAATTACTGCCTCTCAGCGGCGAGGAAAAACTGGAACGGAGGAAAGAGCAGAAAGTATTCGAAATAGCGTTTTTCATTTTAAGCAGCGAGCAAATTAGACTATAAACTTCACAGATTTTGCTTAAGGCAAAATACTTACGGTATTCATTGAAAAGATTTAAGAACACTCGTGCTTTATGGAGATCACCGGTAAAAGCAGCGCCGCAAACGGCGCACTTTAGCTCTGGTTCTTCTTCTTCCGGATTCAGTGGGCAATAGCCGTCCTCGCATTGTTTACAAGCCAGCGAATATTTCATGTAGTCCTACAAACTCCGGATATTCAAGCGTTAGTTAAACCAACCCAAAACTTCGTGCTGAGCTAGCACAACACACGGGGGTCGAATCTGTGGCTTTCAGACGCAAGTTCCGGAAGGCAATCTTGCAATTATGCGACTGTCCTGAGTCACGCAGCATGTTTGTGTGGCTGTTTCTGCTTTCATAAACAGAAGCAGTGTGACTGTTGTGATTTCTTAACAGAGCTGCTGAATTCATTTGGGGGTCATTGCTAGGCAGTAATTTTTATGCGTTTTTGCAAAACGCATATTGTGACGGCCCCGATGTGAGTGTGTGTATGTGTGCGTCTGCCCGGATATTTCAACTCGGCACCCAAGCAAGCTCCGGCGCCAAAATTTTGCTATTGGGTTCCCCGGTCAAGTGCCATCCCAGGACCGTGGAATCAACCCTCACGAATCTGGGCCCCGCATACAAGGGGGTGAAAGTCTTGGCGGGAAAATCGCCAACTCGGGAACCAGAAAAGCTAAAAAGCTGAAATCCTGAGGTTATGTCCCCCGTCTCCATGGAACTCAAAGATTTCAAATTCAGCCCCCAGGCGTGCGTGGTTCCCGCGTATGGTTCCGTAAGGGTTCCTGACGCGAGAACCGCTAACTTGGGAATCATGGAAGCTGGAGAGCTGAAATTTTCAGGGAATGTTCCCGGCGCATGTGCAACTTAAAAAAACCAAATTCAGCCCCTAATTGTGTATGGTACTCACGTACGGCCCCGTAAAAATTTCTGACGCGAAAACGGCTAACTTAGAAACCAGGAAAGCTGGGAGGCTGAAATTCTCAGGGAATGTTCACAGCACATATACAACTCAAATTTAACAAAATCAGGTCCCAGGCAAACGTGGTTATCATGTATGGCTTCGTGAATTTTTTTGACGCGACA